CCTGGGTGTCATTGTAAGTGGGTTGGGAAAGCTAAACATAAAGCCTTTGGTGAAACATGTAAATTAGCTGAGCTTAACTAGGGCTGCATCTTCTAGTCCTCTTGGTTCTTTGTTACAGTACCATCTGCCAGCATGACCCGGCTTGCCCGATCCCGAACCCACTCAACCTCGAGTAGCATTGGCTCTGGAGAAAGTCCCTTCAGCCGGTCTGTCACCAGCAATCAGTCAGATGGAACTCAAGAATCCTGTGAGTCCCCTGATGCCCTGGACAGACACCAGACCATGGAGGTGTCCTGCTAAGCAGTTGCTCCTCCCCGGACCATGCAAGTCTACCCTTCTTCAGACGACACTCCATAATATAACATTTCATCCCGTAAACTGGCCTCCTCTATCTTTAACTCATGCATGGCCACTGAACCTCTCCTAGTAATCTGGATTTATCATTCTCTGCCCACCTACCCTTTTTTTGTATCTTCCAAGAACCACATTCATGCCATTACTGTAACATTCCAGCATCTTTAGCTGATCTGATCTCCACATCTTCTCTTGCCAGCTTTTTCCTATGTTCCCCTAACGATGTATCTGATAAGATTCTTCTATCCCAACTCCATGTGTGTGCAAGCACGTGTGTCTGTGTTTGTGTGTGCATAGTTCTGTGATTTTAGACATGCTTCCTTGTGGCGCTTCTGCAAAAAAAGAAAAAGGGACTTTTTTTTTTGCATTCCCAATGGTGTTTTTGAGGAAAACGTGCAGAACAGATATTTAAATGGGGAAAGCCACTAGATTCTCATCTGGTTCCAAATTGGTCAACAAGATTTGCAGAGTGATTTCTGAAGAGAGCAGCTCTGAGGAATGTGGAAAAGCATAATTACTGTTTGTACCAGTGATTGATTGTGACCAATGGTAGAAGTGTTGCCTGTCACATAGAGAGGTAGGCAAAGGGGCCAGCCACCTCCCTTTGTCCAAGTGGATTCACATATGCATCCTATAAAGAAAAGGGAGGGATATATCCTACTAGGAGCCCATGAACAATGAGGTTCTAATACAACAGGGAGTTTACTCCAAAGCAGTGGCTTAATTACTAGATCTTAGCACAGAAAGGTGGAAAACAAAATGCCAGGCCTCCGCTCTGCTGTCGCTGAGCATCTGTTACCATTTATCAGACATCTACACATCTACAAGAAGTGCCTCCCAAGTCTGTGGTGGAGAGTGGTTCTCCATTCCTCAGTCCCAAAAAAGGGAGAGGTATGGCCGAAAAATATGGTGAGGACATGAAAGGGGCAAGAGCAATGGCCATTAACACAATTTCATGTTGAGTAACTGTAGCCATGATTTAAGCAGACTCATGGAAGCCAAACTAAATGGATATAGAAACCACTTCTGAGAAAGATTCTTAATCCTATGAACTCCCTTTTTATAGAGGGGGGAGGGGCCAGTCTGTAAGGGCAGTCACATCCAGGTAAAATTGTAGCCTCCATCTGCTGTCAGCAAGGGGGTCACTGCTGGGAGGAGGGTGAGATAACTGTGGAAATCCATGCCATAAACAGGATCCCAGCTCTCAGAAACAGGAGATGCAAGCTCAGGGTTACACAGTTCCGAATCTTGAGAAGAGACTTTTCAGACACATTGTTTGCTTTCTGCCAAGATAAGGAATGCATCACTCTGCCAGAGTACAACTTTTTACAAATTATTAAATAAAGCTGTATATGTCTCATTGTTACCTGATTGCTGGTGTTATTTTTCTCAAGCCACTCACTGGGGCTCAGGGAGTGGCTGAATACTGTGTGCTGGTTCTGTGCTCTACATTTTCACATTTGTGATCACTTATCCTACCCAGTAACACTGTCCATTTATAGGGAAGAAATGAAGCTTCAGGATAATTTGTCCAAGGTCATACAGCTAGTAAGCGCAGCCTAGACTAAATCCAAGTCCACCTGACAATGCTGTTGTTGATGGAGGAGAAGCTGAGGTCTGGGAAAGACATTCCACATCTTGGCTCTGCCATGTGTGTGGAATTGCTGGATCCCACCCATCAGGTAATAATCTGCAACCACGGGCTGGGGATGTGGCTCAAGCAGTAGCGCGCTCGCCTGGCATGCGTGCGCCCCGGGTTCAATCCTCAGCACCACATACAAACAAAAATGTTGTGTCGGCCGAAAACTAAAAATAAATAAATAAATATTTAAAAAAAAAAAAAAAAAAAAAAAATAATCTGCAACCACTTTTCTGGGGTTCTTTAAGAGACTAGGCTGTGTCCCTCCATAAATGGCTGAATTTGCACCCATCAAGAATAATTTCAGGCCAGGTTCAGTGGTGCATGCCTGCATGTAGTCACGCTCCTCAGAAGGGTGAAGGAAGGAAGATCACGAGTTCAAGACCAGTCTGGGCAACTTAGCAAGACCCTGTCTCTGAATAAATGAATTGAATGAATGATGGAAAAGGGGGATCTGGGGGGTGTAGTGCTGTGGTAAAGTGCATTCTTAGCATTTGTGAGGCCCTGTGTTTGAACCCAGCACCAAACAAAGGAAAGAAAGGCTCACATACTTCATCAAGTTCTCATGGCAGCCCTGCAAAGTGGGAGCATCTGTTTTACAGACAAGGAACAATTCAGAAAAGTTGAGTGATTTGACCAAAGTCACCTAGCTTGAAAAAGTAGTTTCTAGTTCTTCCAGAATCAATGCATTTTTATGTTTTCTTCAGCCTTTCATTGAGCACCTTTAATAGGCAAGGCCCTTAGCACCTTCCAATAAGTTGCCTTCTGTTGACCCAATGAAATGGATACAGAAACAGGCCCAGAGTTAGTTTACAAATGGTCAAGAAACTAATAATTGACTATATGGGAAAGTTCCCTTTACTCCATTCAACACTTCTGTGACAAATTTGAGGGGTTTTTCCCTGTACCAACTAATTCTCTTAACAGTTTGGACACCAACTAGGTATCTTACAATTCAATTAGAACACTATCTAGAGTTAGTGCAGACCCTTTAGTCCCACAAGCACCCCCCACTTCACATGCCAGTTGGAAGTAGTAAATCCCATGTTACTCTCACTTCTGTACAACTAGGGTACAAATCTGATTCACACAGCTGTCTCCTCAGGCTTGGCCATGTGTTTTGATGGCTCACAGAACTCAGGAAAGGTGTTTACTAGTTTATTAAAAAGGATAAGCCAGGCATGGTGGCACACACCTGTAATCCTAGTGACTTGGGGGAGGGGGGGGGCTCATGAGTTCAAAGCCAGCCTCAGAAACTTACTGAGACCTTGTCTAAAAAAATAAAGAGGGCTAGGGATGTGGTTCAGTGGTTAAACACCACTGGATTCAGTCCCCATTACCAAAAACAAAGAATGCTCCTCTCCTCTGACTCTTTCAGCTCTGTTACCAAGTCCCTGCAGAGATACATATCAAACCAGCCTTCCCTGGGAGCAAGGGATCAGCAGAAGTGAGCTCTTACTGGCAAGGAACCAGATAAGGCTGCAGAGTCTGAACTAGATTAAGAGCATTTCAGTACAATGCAAGTTTTTGTGTTAAAGAGCATCTGTCTCCAGAAGTATCAGGCCCCTTGAGGGGGAGGCAGCAGGTGGCTGCATTAAATTTTAATGAGCTGTGGGCAGTGTAGTTCTGTCAGATCCTTTATCCTACACCACAGATCCTCATGCTAAGACGTGCATCAGAATCACCTAAAGTACTTTTGAAAACCTTAGGGGGAGGGTGGTGTTGTGGCTCAGTGGAAGAGGCTTCTCTTGCATATGTGAGGCACTGGGTTCAATCCTCAGTACCACATAAAAATAAAGGTATTGTGTCCATCTACAAATGAAAATTTTTTTTAAAAAAAAGCAACATTCCTGGGCCCTGACCTCAGCATTTCTGATTCAGTAGATCTGATGGGAACTGAGGATTTGCATGTCTAACAAATTCCCAGGTGATGCTGAGGCTGCTGATCTGATACCATACTTTGAGAAATACTGTTGAGATTTCCACCCAATACTGGGGATTGAACCCAGGGGAATTTTCCCGCTGGAGAATAAACCCAGGACCTTAAATATGTTAAGTACTTTGGTGGTAGAACTACCACTGAGGTATAGCGTCAGCTCCCAGATCTTGCTCTTTAAAGTGTAATTCCCAGACCAGCACAATGGATATCGTCTTGGAAGCCTGCTAGAAATGCAATATCTCAAGTGAGCACAGTGGCTCCCTAAGGAGCATGGATCCCTGTCCTATCCTATGATCCCAGGTACTCCGGAGACTGGTGTAGGAGGATTGCAAGTTCAGAGTCAACCCGGACCAATTAGTGAGACCCTGTCTCAAAAAACTAAAAAGGATCAAAGAGCAGGGGGTGTAGCTCAGTGGTAGAGCACCCCTGGGTTCAATCCTCAGTACTGCCAAATAAAAAATATTTTTTTTCTTGTACAGGGAATTGAACTTGGGCACTCGACCACTGAGCCACATCTCCAGCCCTTTTGTTATATTTTACTTAGAGACAGAGTCTCACTGAGTTGCTTAGTGCCTCAATATTGCTGAGGCTGGCTTTGAACCTGTGATCCTCCTGCCTCAGCCTCCCGAGCCGCTGGGATCACAGGTGTGCGCCACCGTGCCCATCTAAATTACTTATAAAGAGAAAAGAGATGCAGAAAGAGAGATGGAGAACAAAAGAAGATAAAGGGGGAGAGAAGAAAAAAGGAAGGAGGGAGAAAGAAATGCAAAATCTTGCTGCCCACAGTGTCGTACACCTGCAATCCTAGCTACTCAGAAAGCTGAAGCACCAGGATATAAATTTCAAGCCTAGCTTGGGCAACTTGGTGAGGCCCTGCCTCAAAAAATAAAAAGGACTTGGGATGTAACTTAGTGGTAGAGTATTCCTGAGTTCTATACTCAGTACCACAAAAAGAAAGAAAAATGCCAAAATTTGAGCCCCACTTCAGACCAACTGAGGCAGAATCTATAGTTTAGGGCTGGGGATGCAGCTCAGTGGTAGAGCGCTTGCCTAGCATGCATGAAGTCCTGGGTTCCATCCCCAGCACCACAAAAAAGTAAAGTGTGGGAAGGCAGTGCTTCCCAAACTTACCAAAGGATTCTCTTGGAATATTTAAAGTTTAATTCCTAGGCTTCTCCTCTGACAACCTAAATTCAGAAGGCATGAAAGGATCCCAGAAACAGTAGTACTAAAATTAAGTTGCTTCAGTGATTACTATGGTCAGGCCAGCATGGGAAACCCCTGCTCATTTCTCTCAGACCCAGACCAAGCCACAAAGCCAGAGAAGAATCTCCTGCTCTGGGATCATGCAGAGGCAGCCACTGCTACCCTAGAAACAGGAACTTGGGCAAGGTGGCTCCTCAATGGTCTCTGATGCCGTCAGAGGAAGTGAGTGGTTGTGAGAACCACAATCTGCAGACAGGAGCCAGAGCTCAGAGGAGGCATGCCTGTGTCTGTGACAGTCACAGATCCCTAGGCCACCTGCCTTGTCCTGCTGTGCTGGTGAGGATTGCCCAATCTGGGGTCCCTAAGGAGCCTGGGTCCCTGTCCTATCCTGGAGTACAAACTGCTGATCACAAGATAGATGCTGAACTAAGCCACTCTGACATCAAGAGTCCTTCTGAAGTTCCTCTGAGTCTGAGTTCTGGGTGGCCTAGGACCAAGGACATTGGCAGATTTCCAGAAGGGACCCCCAAAGCCCTAAGCTGACCAGCCAAAGCATGGTTTTAGCTGATGTCCTGCCCAAGTCTCTGATGACAAGAAACTAGTAAGTATACTTGCTTCTGTTTCCTGGTGGGCTCAGCATAGATGAGGAAGAGTGATGCCCTCCAAGGCTGGGAGTGGGCTTTATTTACAGTTAGGAAGCAAATGTTCCAGGAGGAGGGGAGGTGGTTCTACTGGGACTGTAAGAGGTGGTTTCTGGGACCCTGAAGGAACTAAGATCCCCTCTCCCACTTTGACCACCTCCTAGAGATTTATTTTATTCTCCAGCTTGTTTTTGTACATTGCCTGTTCTAGACCCCTCTTGGTTAGTTACTTGTTGTGTGACTTTTGGCCCCTCTCTGGGCCACAGTCTTTCAAATTCAGTTGAGTAAGAGGGCTGTGGATTATCCTCTCTGAAAACACCCCCAGCTGCCAGATCTTTCAAAAGAGTGAGATTCTCAGTTGAAAAAGCAGGAAAGGGTTTGGGAGTGTACCTCAGTGGGGCCCTGGATGCTGTTCTCAACTCCAAAAAGAAAAAGAGCAAGAGGCCCCCCTTTAGCTTAATCCAAATTCCTCATTCTTACCCCCACTGCTGAAAAATGATCTTCACAGGCACCGAAGAGTGGATAGTAGTCCAGCTCTGCACTAACCAGCTGCCCAAGCACGAGGTCATCCTCTGGGGCCCTGGTCCTTGCATCTGAAATGAGACTCAAGTGGGATGATCAGAACAAAGCCGGGCAGTGTGCTGATCTCAGCTGCCTTTTACTCTTTCCTGCCACCCACTCACACAGGTCCCCTAGAAAGTGCCTAGCACACAGTAAGTTGCTGAAGTATGTGTGGTTAATGATTCGATTTCCTCTTATAAATATTGCAGCCCACACCTCCTTCTCCTGGGCCTGCCCTGCTGCCACCTGGTCTTCATATTGCCTCAGGGGCTTCCTGGCCTGGACCAGATCAGGTGGAGAAAGCTGCAGACCCAGCATGCATGCAGCTCCCTTATTGCCCTGGCGCCCATCCCCCAGCCCCACCTGCAAAGAAGTCCTCTCTGAGTTGATTGCAGTTGATGATTGTGGTCTTGCTGAAGGAGGGGAAAGGAAACTAAGCCTTACTGACACCTGCTCCATGCCAAGCTCCTCCCCTTCTCACAACCCTGTGGAGTCAATATTAGGATCCCTGCTTTGTCTAAGGACACACAGCTCAGACCAGGCAAGTCTGAATAAGTCACCCATGCTACCCAGGTCAGATGGAAAGTGAAGCATTTGTCCTGTACCTCATACCCAAGGGGTAAGGACGGGCTGGGGCAGCAGGGACTCTGAGGAACCAAACTGAAATGGTGCCCTAGCGCTTAGGGACCCAGCACCATCTCACTCCAACGCTGCCAGATCCAAAAAGACTGAGTAGAAAATGTGCCAAGTGATGGCCCATCTTGCTCCTGTCTCTGAACACTGAGCTCCGCATGGAGAAGCAGCAGCAGACAAGTATTATGATTCCCATTGATGACATGGGACTGGAGAACAGAGGGCAGGGACCTGGCACAAGTATTCCATCCTCAAAGGCAGGATCTTTACTCCTCAGAGAAGACTGGCCCAGGAGGCCACAGACGTGATGGGCATGGTTTTCATCCAGGCAATGTGGGGTTCAAAAGCAAGGAAGGTGACCACCATGTCACCACACCATTTTGTGAGTTCCCCTCTCTAACTCCCCACCCTTGCTAAAGAGCAAAAACTCTGAATGCCAGCTAAAGGAAAACAGACTGGCATAATCTACTGAAAAGCATAAAACCATCCGAGAAAAAATACAGAACTCAGCCCAGCCCCCAACATTTTGACACAATGTTTGGAAAGATCAGCATCACTCTAGAACCTGGGAATGTGAATTATTCTAAGGACAAGACACCTGTCCAAAGAAATAATCATTTCTGTTCGTTTAGTTAACGGGTATTCAGTGCCTTCTGTGGGGGTCTCACTGGATGCTGGGGAAAGGAGCATGGAACTGTAGGATAATGGCAGATCAAGCACTTGAGTGTGAGGCTGGGGATGTGGCTCAGTGGTGGAGAGCTTGCCTGGCATGTGTGAGGCCGCAGTTTGATCCCCAACACCACAAAAAATAAAATAACTTTGTAAGGAACACAACAGGAAGTTAGAGGCTTCTGAGAAGTGACATTCAGGACAAGAGAAAGGAAATGTAGGGCCTGGGTAGGTTTTTCAGGGAATTATCTCTAGGAGCCATATGCTGGGTGTTGTAATCCCCATTTTTCAGATGCGGAAAAGGAGGCACCAAGAGAGGAAGTAGTCTGACAGCCCGTTGCCCAGAGCCTTGCAAGTCACTGCCATACAGCCTCCCTGGCATCTTACTCTGCCCTGTAACACCAACAACAACATGTCCAATGTCAGCTCTGATTGTTTTGACACTAATCCCCAAACCCTCTGACTCCACTTGCCACCCTGACCCTAGCTGTGGCTCCTGGTGTGCCTGGAGTGAGCTCACTGTCAGGCCCCTTTCCCTTCCCATACAGTAGTAGAACACGAGCCCACGTCTGAGAAGTGGTTCCAAGTGGGCCACGGGAATTCAAGGGAGGATCAGCAAAGGCTGAGGATTCAGGAAGAGCTGGCTAGGAAAGGGCAGGATACAGATAGGTCTGAAAGGGGAGGAGAGGGCAGGCCAGTCATGGAAGGCCCAGGAGCAAAGAACTGAGCATGGCTGCAGCCTAGAGGAGAGGGAATGCAGAGAAAGCAGCTTCACAATTTGCAGGCAGCCTTGGGTCTACAGGAGGAGGCTGGAGTCTGGTCCTGGGGAAAGGCCATTCCCCTAAGCTCTCCAGGAGATCATCAGGGCCCAGTAGGAGAGAGATGGGTATGGGTATCTGAGACCAGAGCAGGAGCCATATGCTCTGTCCCCATGGCAGCTTCTCTTTCAGGTCTCCCTGGGTGGTGTGCTTCTAACAGTTCTGCTGAGGAAGGATGGGAAGCCTGCCCAGCCGAAGGAAAACCCTGCCAAGCCCAAGTTCCAGCCCTCCTGTCCCAGGCCAAGGACCTGAGCTCATGCAAGCAGGTAGGCTATGGGGCCTGGGCAGGCAGCATGAGGCTGCACAGTCCCACACTCCACTACCTCTGTGCCTTCATGACAGGCAACACCTGCACATCACTAGGTATAGACCCAGCACCTACTGTTCTTCTTAGTGAGCCATGAATGTGGGGGCCCTGCTCCTATGGAGATTACTTTGAGGTAGAAACATTGAACCACCAGATAAAGGAGAAAACATGAGGGTCTGGGGCGTAGCTCAGTGACAGAGCTCAAGCCTAGCATGCACAAGGCCCTGGGTTAGATCCTCAGCACTGGAAAAAAAGTAACTCAGTTCCTCAGTCACATGAGCCACATTTCAAGGATTTGGTAGCCACATAGAGCTAATGGACCTTATTGGAAAGCACAGAATATAAGACATTTCCAACACTGCAGAAAATTCTCCTGGACCTCAGAAGAACTGTGAAATACTTGATGCAAAATCAGGGCTCCCTTACTGGTGGGAAAAATAAAATAGCACCTGCAGTATGTATCCTGAGCCTATTACCATGATTCTCTAAGACAATTCTGACTAAAAATACCAGCTTTTAAAACAGTTGGGCAATTTAAATATCCTAGAAATTTTAGTATTTTTACATCAAAACCATGGCCTCTGGTCTATTTCTTGTTCTTTGAAACATCCCATAAATCCTTTCTCAAATCACATCCTGATTTGGAGTTTGGATAAAGTATTAGGGGCAGGGGCTGTAGCTCAGTGGTAGAGCGCCTGCCTAGCATGAGGCCCTGGGTTTGATCCCCAATACCGTGAAAAAATAATAATAATAATAATTAAGGAAAGAGAACCAATAGGGTGGTGGGGGAGAGATATCCATTGTTAGGAATCAGCTCACGTGAGTATGGGATTGTCAAGTCTGAAGTCTGCCAAGCAGGCTGCAGACCCGAGGGGAATCGGTGCTATGGTCCTGAGTCCAATGGCAATCCACAGGCAGAACTAATCCATGTCCTCAAAGGACCTTGCGCGTCTCTCATAAGGCCCTTGATTGATTGAATGAGGCTCACCCATGATAATCGACTTTACTCAGTCTACCAATTTAATTTTTTTTTAAGAGTATCTTCACAGCAACATCTAAACTGGTGTTTGGCCAAATATTATCTGGGTACTGTGGCCAAGCCACAATGACCCATAGAATTAACCTCACAGATAACAAGATCACTCCAAGCCAAGCCGTGCTTCTAGAAGGACGTGGGCAATTAAGCTGGACTAGAGACTGCAAAGCTAAGATGTCTGGGTATCAAGGTTTGGGTAGGAGCTGTCCCCAACCCCAAAATTCCCCTATGGTGCAGGGCTTCCTTCCCTCTCCTCTGCCTGAATCCCTTATTTCCCTAATGGTTGCCTCTCCCAGGCCCACAGGCCTTGGCACCCTAGGTCCCAGAGGTTTCCTGTTGGGTCAGGAAAACAGTTGCCTCCTTGTAGCTACCATCTGCACTGAGAGGCCCTGCAGAAAGAGACCTGCAAACCACAAACCTCCACCTTGGCTTCCTCCAAGCCTAGCCACAGGCAGCGTCCTGAGGCTGCTCTGAGACATGCCCAGGGCTACTGAGGGTGGTGACCACTCCTGTTGTACAGGGCCCTCCTTGCCTGTGGGGCCCTAGGTGAGCCAAGCTCTCCCTGGCATAGTATCTCCAGGGAAGGAGGGAGGAAGGAAAGGAAGACCTCTCAGTAGATCTGCCCCTGTCCCAGCCGGAGTGTGAGTTTGGGGTCACTCCCTCCAGGAGCTATCTGTCCATCAACTTAGCCTCCCTCTTAAGCGTACTGAAGCTCAACTGCAAACCAGTCCTGTGCCAAAACCTGAAGTCACAGCAATGAACAGGCAGGCATAGTCTCTGTCTTTAGGGACAGTTGAGCCCCAGAAACAAACCGTGAACCAATAATGACAGTTGTGTTCAATTTGGCAACTGCATGCTCAGAGAGACTCTGAGATTGTGTGCAGAGGGCCAAGTCAGGGCTGGCTTTCTGAGGAGGTGAAGGGTGAAAGCAAGTCAGCCAGTCTGAGTGGGGACAATTGTGAGAGGGTCAGGCCTTCCAGAAACAGGAGGGGCCCTTCCAGGCCTCTTTGTTCCATTCTTGCGGAGTGACCTCTGTAAGACTTGTGTTGTTTACTCAAGCAGCAGGCATTTCCCTGCACCATGGGCTGGCTAGGCTTGTGCTACAAAGAGCACTCAGAGACAGAGAGACCTGGTTCCTAAGGAGCGCCCCCCCCCCCCCAAGGGATCTATCTCAGAGGGTGTCTTTGAGGACATGTGGGAAAATGTTCATTCTGAAATCAGTCTCACTCTTCCCTTGGCCACCCATGGCAGAGACCCTTCAGCCACCTCCCAACCTCTGGGTCCTTGTCTGTCCATCTGTGTCTGCCTCTCCCTGTCTAGACCAACTCCATCTCAAAGGCATCTCAGAGTCCTCAGACCTTAACTCCTCCAGGAACATCTAGGAGACCAATGAATTTTTCTTGCTGACCTTGTGCTTTTAATAGCTTAATGCATTTAGGTGCTAACAAGTCTTTCAGGGACCATCCCTAGAAAGGATCAGCAGGGTAGGATGCAAATGAAGAAGTTTCCAGAAACCACTGAAGGCAAGTTTTTCAGACCTAGAAGTCCCTGCATACATAGTGGGGTCTTGTTAGACTGGGTTGGCTGATCCCTGAGGTGGGTGGGGGATGTTAGTCGTGTGCTAAGAGAGCTACTTGCTGCTTGAGGCTCAGCCTCAAAGTTGGACCTCCTGGCTACCACATCCTCAGGACCATTCCCAGGCCAGTAACTCCCCTGTGTAGATCTCAGCCTCCTAAGGAGATGGAGCCCCTCCTGAGAGATACATTTCTACCCAAGCCCTTCTCCTCCTGCCAGGGTGGCGTGGTGTAGAGTCTGTGTTCTCACTTCTCCTCTGAGTGCCTGTCAGGGCCCCAGACCTCCCTGCACAATGGGGTTGAGTAGAGAGGACCATCCAGGAGGGCTGACTGAAAGCCCTCACTGGGCTGGACATACAGGTGCTCAGAGAGTGACAGTGGGGAGGAGGCCTAGAACTTTGGCAGCCCCCAACTCCAGTGTGGCACCTGCTCTGGGTTAGGCCTGGAACAGGGGTCTGGAACGGCCTCTCAGGGGGCAGCATAGACCTCCTCCTACTGCCCTGGGCAGCACAGCACCCTAGAGTTACAGAGCCTATTCATATCTGTCAGCTCACAGGCCCCTCCACAAGCCTGAACAAGTCAACAGGACCAGGAATGAGGGGAGCAGTGGGGTCCCACAGTGGAAGGGAAGGTGGCTTTCACTTTCCAGTCCTTTTCTCCTGTCTCCCAAGAGTGAGTGCTCAGGGCTGGTGCTCGGCCATGCCTGCCCCAGGGCTCCAGGGACCCAGGCTCAGCTGCTAGCCTGGCCTGAGTTTCCTTCCCCAGTTTTCAGAGGTCATGCGCACTCATAGTACCTGTCGCATCATCAGAAGCTAAGACCACACTCATACTTGCTTAGGGTTTCTAGGAGTTTTGTTTTTGTTTTTTGTTTTGTTTGTGCTGGGGATCAAATCCAGGGCTCTATATGCCAGACAAGCGCCCTAACACTGAGCTGCATCCGCAGTCTAGGGTCGTAGGTTTTGAGTTTCTGAGCAGCAGAATTACTTCATCAAAATCTCTGTGAAGAGCGTGGCACGGTGAATATACAAGGGATTTTAATATACAAGGGATTGAACCAAACAGCACTTAACCACTGAGCCACATCCCTTACCCATAATCCCAGTGGCTCGGGAGACTGAGGCAGGAGGATCACATTCAAAGCCAGGCTCAACAACTTAGTGAGGCCCTAAGCAACTTAGTGAGACCCTGTCTCAAAATACAAAAGGGTAGGGGAGGGCTGGGGTTGTGGCTCAGTGGTAGAGCGTTCGCCTCACACATGCAAGACCCTGGGTTCGATCCTCAGCACCATATAAAAAAAATAAAAAAGTGAAATAAAGGTATTGTGCCCAACTACAACTAAAAAATAAATATTAAAAAAAAAGAGTAAGGGATGTGGCTCAGTGGTTAAGTGCTGTTTGGTTCAATCCCTTGTATATTAAAAAAATCTCTGTGAAGAGTTGTATATAAAAAGGAGTCATAGGGGCTGGGGTTGTGGCTCAGCATGTGTGAAGGCCTTGCCTAGGACATGTGAGGCCCTGGGTTTGATTTTCAGCACCACATATAAATACATAAAATAAAGGTCTATCAACAACTACAAAAAAAAATTTAAAAAGGAGTCATAACCAGGAGCCCCATTCCTCTTTGAACTCAGAAACTCAAAACCTTCTTCTTGGTACATGAGCTTGAAGCCCCCATGAGGACCCCAAGAACTACCTGGGCACCCCCAAGCTCAACAGAGCCCCCTGGAAGAACTTCAGACTCCAGGTGGCCTTCCTGCAGGATGCCCTTGAGAGGGTGAAAGAGGGAGCCAGACCCAGACCAGATGTCACTAGACCTGATGTCTGGAAGGAATGCTGACCAGGAGAGTGACTGTCTATCTCTCCATCCAGAGAAGAGCAAGGCCACAGCTGTGGCTCTGGGCAGTTTCCCGGCAGGCGGCCAGACTGAGCCGTCTCTGAGACTAGGAGAGCCATTGACCATCCTGTCTGAGTAAGTCTGTGGGCTCTGGGCACCTAGAGATGCACTAAAAGGGGAGAGGTGCTTCAGAAAAAGCCTGAGGCCTTTTCTGAAAACCTCGCAGGTGATCATGGCCCTGTCTGGGGTTTTAAGCAGCTTGACTACCTGCAGGGAGAGACAGAGGGGCTGGGGCCTTGGAACAGGGAGTTTTGGCTCATGCCATCTGCTAGCCACCCTGTCCAGGAGGGGTCGGGACTGGCTGGTGGAAACAGGTGGCTGCAGGAGTCAGCTGAGAGGATCCGTGTGAACCCCAAGTAAGCAGTCCCAGGGTCTTGACCCTTCTGAAAGAGGTGCCCTCTCTGCTTTCTCTTTCAGGGATGGAGACTGGTGGACAGTGCTGTCAGAAGTCTCAGGGAGAGAGTACAGTGTCCCCAGCATGCACGTGGCCAAGGTCTCCCACAGGTGAACACACTCTCACCCCTGCCTGCCTTCAGGGATCTCCTTCCCACAAGCCTGCTCCCCCATGGCCACCCCCAGCCGGACACTGAGTGAAGCTGGGGAGTGAGAAGCAGGCCCAGGCTCTGCTCGGCAGGAGCAGAGAGCAGCAGATCCCAGCACCACTGGCCCTGAGACAGGAGCCTGGGGAGGTGGCTGGGGAAGACCCCCCAGAGGAGGTGTCCTGGTCAGGGGCTCTGGAGACCATCCAGGATCTAGTGGTGGAGAGTGTGAGAGGCATATGTGAGAGGTGGGCACAGTCTGTAAATGTCTTGAGGCAAAAAAAATGGGGACAGTTCTCAAGAAGATGAGGACTTGGAAAGGTAAGAGGAGAGATACAGGGTGCTGGGGGACTGGGCCATGGTGGGAGAGAGGCTGGGATCACCCTAGAGGGAATGAGGCTTGCAGCAAAAAACACCAACTGACCCCTTGGTTGTTCTCCTGTGCCCCTATAGCTAGGACAAACTGGAGGGGATCTGAGTCCCTGAGGCCTGTTCTTCATGGTGCAGAGAGAACTGTGAGACCCAGAGTGCAAGGGAGAGAGGGGGCTGCACCAAGGTCACACAGAGCAGTGGAGGGTTCCAGTAAGATCTTCATGGCCCATCCCCAGTCTCCTTGCCCTTCCTCCTCCAGGTGGCTGTATGAGGGCCTGAGCCGGGAGAAGGCGGAGGAACTGCTGTTGTTGCCTGGGAACCCTGGAGGGGCCTTCCTCATCCGGGAGAGTCAGAGCAGGAGAGGTGGGTGAAAGGCCCCAGCCCTCCGGTGTAGAAACAGCCTAGGAAAGAGTCACTCAGGAATGAGGGTAGACCAGGGCCTGCCCTTATTTGAACTGACTGTGACAGGGTCACAGGGTTCTTAGTCCTCTACCTCAGTCTCCCCGTGGAGCCCCATCCAATATATCTTTGCCTCTTTTCTCCTTCCCTAGGGAGCTCCCTAGGTTGACCTCTTCCAGCCCCTCCTGCTAATATCTTGGCCACAACAGCAACCCCACCCCCGCCCCCATAAGCTGGCTGGGGCAGGAGGATGGCCCCTGTGCAGCCGCTGGGAACAGGAAACCACAGCAGTGGTGCTGATGGGGACCGGCCCTGCAGACCAACAGGGTGAGCCAGCTGGAGAAGCCACAGGAAGTGCTCTATGCTCAGTTACCCTACCCTTTCTCTGGCCTGGTTCAGCCCCAAGAATCAGGTGACTGGCCCTTGTGGTCACTCTGCCCTTTCCAAAGAAGACACATATACAAGAGAAAAATGGTCAACTGTAAAGGAGAAAGCCCACAGGAATCCATAAAGATCTTCAAGGATCCACATAATTGCTGGGATTAAGGTCCCCGTAGGCAACTGCAAAAGGGGATGCCTCAGTGTGCAGCTCTCATCAAAAAGGGAGACGTGTAGGGGCTGTGGATATGGCTCAGTTGGTAGAGTGCTTGCCTCGAATGCACAAGGCCCTGGGTTCAATCCCCAGAACCTCCACCTATATATATCTATAGATAGATATCTAGATAGATACATAATAATGATAAAATAATAACAGCTGGGTCCCCTCACCCAGAGGGGACCTTGGCTGCTGGGTGGAATCACCAGGGGAAGATTTAGAAACTCTGGATGCCTGCAAGCCATCTGTTTAATTTCTGATTTAAATTACTCAGGAATGCATCCTGGGCTTTGGAAGATGAAAGTGTGCCCCCACCCCTAGGGGACTCTGAGGTACAGCCAGCATCAGTGAGAGAGAGCAGGGCAGGATTTAGAAACTGGCAGTGCAGGCCAGGCTGGGCAAACCCGCTGCAAACACCGCTGCAGGCAACTTTTGTTTGAGGTATTTATTTATAAGTAAATGTGTCCTGGGTCACAGTGTAAAATGTTATTCAGTGGTTTGTGGTTTAAAAAAAAAAAAAAGTTTTTGAAAGCAAAGTTCTAGGGGCCCAGGCAACATCATGAGATGGTGGTTCTCAGATCCCAGTGCATAGTAGACATCAGGGAACTGGTCAGCAACATCAGCTCTTGGGCCTTGCCACCCACCTACTGATTCAGGCTGCTGGGGACAGAGGCCAGAAATATGCTTCCTTTTTAAGCTCTCTGGATGGTTCTGCTGTTCTCTTAAGTATGAAAAAATAGTTCTAATCTAGGGAATTCAGAAGGAAATAAGGAGACAACGTCAGGCTGGGGGCGTGGCTCTGTGAAAGCTCCTGCTAGGCTTAGACAATGTCTTTTATTCTCACCTTATGCATCTTGTGTTTATACAATGAGAATTAACTGTTGACTGAGTCAGTGACAGCAGAATTAGCTTTCCTGGGGCCAAAGTCCAAAGACTGGAAGGGTACTCTGCAGGGGCTGTAGTCTATGTAGACCAAGGTGGAGGGTCTGGGACCCTGAGCTCCCAGGAGCAGCAATCAGGCCTGAGGACGAGGAGAGGTCCTGCATCTCCCCAGAGTCCTCGGACTCACCTAGTCTTGCTCTATGCCTATGGAGAGCCTTATTCTAGGCTCAAGTAGGGCCCAAGACCTCGGTTATTAAGCAACTTTGTGGAGATCTCAGGACTGTGCCAGAGGTCAGTGCCGGGGTTAGGGACAGGTCCCAACAGCACCCCTCACTTCGCCTTCCTGCTGTCCTTATGCCTGTTCTGTGTTGGGCACTTTAAGGGAGACTGATGGTTTCTGCCCCCTGGGGGGCTCATCAGTCTCCTTTATAGACATAGAACAGGCAGGGACAGCAGGAAGGTGAGGTGGGAAGCACTTCCTGAGCCTCTCCTCTGCATTAGGCTTGCTAAGTCAGGACTCAGGTCCTCAGGCAGCAGACAGGGAGGTCTGAAGGTCAGTATCCTTGAGACCATCAGCTTCTTGGACATCTCAGCAGGGAAAGTTCAGGCAGGTGATAGACCTACTTGTTACACACGGCTCCTGATCTGAGCCTTCACACCTCCTCCCAGCGTCACTGGAACAGCTGATCCCAAAGGTCCTGGATGTGACTTTGCCTAAGCCTCCAAAGCTTTCCGGAATCTGGGACCTTACACGTTCCCTTTTTTCCTGGTGGGTCCCTTTCTAGGCCCCGCATGGCTTCCACAGTGCCCTCTGCCCACCGGGTGTGCTGTGAGTACTGGTTCTTTCCTCTGCTTCCTCCTGACACAGTGTCCTCTCCCAGCCTGAAAAGCCTCTCCTCCATTGCTTCCCTTGCAAACACACACTTGTCCTTCATAACACATTCCAAGTCACCTCCAGATGCTGTTTGTCACACTTTGCTCTCCCGTAGCATCCTACAAAGACCTCTTCTGTAGCTATAGTAAATTTATTTCTTAAAATCTGAGTATATTATCTGATGAGAAAGACACAGGAACTAAATATCCAAAGCAAGGACTACTAGTGGAGTGAGATGGCACACACCTGCAATCCCGGTGACTCGGGGTACTCAGGAAGGAGGATCACAAGTTTGAGACTAGCATTAGCAACTTAGTGAGACCCTGTCTCAAAATAAATAAAAAGGGCTGGGCATACAGCTCAGAGGTAGAGTGCCCCTAGGTTTAATCCCCAGTACTGAAAATAAATAAATAAATAAATACAAGAAAGAAATGAGGACCGTTAAAGAAAACCCTGGATGTGGGATATGCTGGCAAGACAGCTCTTATTTCCCCAGAGGATGATGATTTCATCATACCTGTGTCTGGGCCTGGTGCAGTGTCCAGCATATAGTAAGTGCTCAAAAGATGTTTACTGAATAAATGAGTCAGTAGGTGAGCATACCTATATATGCAGACAGGATGGAGAGCTGGGGTAGACTGCACCCCAACTGGGAAGGTCCAGGTCGTTTAAAGCATCAGACTGCCAAGGACAAAACCACAGTTGGGCCTGTGTGTTCCCAGTATGCTGTCTCAGTAGGGTCTGGTCCCAAGAGGCCTTCTGTACCCAGGGCTAGCAGATCCAGGAAATGCACCATGTGTTTTTGCTCCAAACAATGAAATGATAATAAGCCTTCAAGGACCAGTCCCATCTGTGCAAGAGGGTGCACACCTACAATCTCAGCAACTTGAGAGACTGAGGCAGGATGATCTAGGCCAACCTGGGCAATTTAGTAAGACCCTGTCTTACTAAATTGGGGGGATTACCAGGGATTGAACTCAGGCACTCAAACACTGAGCCACATTCCTGGCCCTATTCTGCATTTTATTTAGAGACAGGGTCCCACAGTGTTGCTTAGGTCCTCGCTAAGTTTCTGATGCTGGCTTTGAACTCGCGATTCCCCTGCCCCAGCCTCCCGAGCCACTGGGATTACAGTTGTAAATGCCTGGATCCAAATTTTAAAAAGGCTATAAATATAGTTCAGTAATAGAGCATTTGCCTAACATGGGCAAGGCTCTGAGTTCTATTCCCAGTATTGCAATATAAATAAATTAATTAATTAATTTTAAAAAATCATTCCCAATACCATCTGTGCTTATAAATAGCAATAGGAGTGTAAATGGTGACAAGGGGTCCTTAAAACTACTTGTAGCCATGGCTCTGTGTGATTAATGGAGAAACATTCATTCAACAAGCAGATATTGCACATTGACTCTCTGCCAGGCGCTATTCCAAAGGGCAGGGATTCAGCAGTATAAAAAGCAAGATCCCATCAGACACAGTGGTGTACACCTAAAATCCCAGCAGCTCCAGAGGCTGAGGCAGGAGGATCCTGAGTTCAAAGCCAGCCTCAGCAACAGCGAGGTGCTAAGCAACTCAGTGAGACCCTGCCTCTAAATAAAATACAAATTAGGGCTGGGGATGTGGCTCAGTGAGTAAGTGCCCCTGGGTTCACTTCCCCATACCAAAAAAAGATCTGAGAGGATGGTATGCCTTGGAGACACAGTAGTGAGCATGGGCAGCACAGTTCATATATATAGTTATATATTTTCCCCCAGTGCTAGGTTTCAAACACACGGCCTCATGCATGCTGGGTAAGCACTGTGCCATTGGGCTACACCCCCAGCCCCAGCAGGGGTATTACAATACGTGAATTTGAGTCCAGGGGGTCTGGGTTATAAAGCAGATGTCCTGGGGCTGGAAGAGAGAAGCAGGTATTTGGCACTGGCTGGGAGCATGCTGCAGGAAGGACAGTGGGATACCAGGCAGGTGGGGTGGCAGGGCCAGTCACAACTAGCCTTGATAGGTAAGCTGTTCCCACAGAGAGTTGGGCAGAGCTGGCCTTTTATCCTGAGCCCACCAGCCAGATCTGCAGTGTATCTATCACCCTTTCTGCTCACGCCACCAGCACTGGGGACTGAGCCCCACATCCTAGCCCTTTTAATTTTTTAATTTGTTGTTGTTGAAACAGTGTGTCACTAATTTGCCCAGACTGGCCTCCAATGTGATCCTCCTGCCTCAGTATCTGAGTAACTGGGATTGTAGGCAAGCGCCACCTCTCCTGCCCCATTCTGGTTCTATTAACTGTGGTGACTCTGATCAGAGTCATGGCTGAAGAACCATGCCAAGGGTGTGAGGTCTTGGTGACTAATTCGGGTGGATTAGTTAGCCTTCGGGGCCCATGTTCAGGTACTTCGCCTTTCTCAATTGCACAGCTTTTCCAGGGTCACAGCATAGCTCCAGAAGAGACTCCTCTTCTTCTTTTTAAAAAAATATTTATTTTCTAGTTGTAGTTCTACGCAATACCTTTATTTTTATGTGGTGCTGAGGATCGAACCCAGGGCCTTGCCACAACCCCAGCCCAGAAGAGACTCTTCTTAAAGGTACAGAGTTCCAGGCACTCCCAGAGTCAAA